CATCATATTTTATAATAGCTGTAAATCTGACAGGATAGACTCTTACTGTTGAGATGATATTATAAATATGTGTCAACACTGAATAAACATCTTTGAAAGGAAAATAAAATAGAGATGTTATTAGAGGTCTAATGAAACAACCATAACTGCTTATTTATAAGAGATGTATGTGCACATCCTTGGAAAAAACTAGAGCCCATGCTGGGTTTGCAGCTTTCCAGTGAGCAGGACACAGAGATTCTCAGCAGGGTCCTGCCGACAACGCAGAAATAGATCCAACACTTCATAAAGATGATGACTGTCTATAAACCTCTAACTGTTTGTTCTCTCCAAGGTTTCAAAGTGATTATAAATACCTCAGTGTCTAAGACTCAATTATGGCTTCTCTTATTCAGCTGAGGGAGCACAGCACGTCAGGAGCTCCCACACCAAGAACCACAAGACACCAAGTACAAGGAAGTAAACCCTGATACCTGTCTGAAGTGTAATGCAAACACATTTTGGGCAAAATTCACTCAGTACCAGACCTGAGAGGGACTTGATCCTTTAAATCTTATACTGGCCTTTTTGCTGAGCATGCATGAAACCTGCTCTTGTTTACATTTCGTGTTTTAAAGACAGCTACACTTTAGGCTATATTTTACCCAAATCAGTTTATCTGTTCTGCAGCAAATGTGGCTCTCTGGCATGCTGTGTTCAGTGTCCACAGGCACATCCTCAGAGAGCTGAGCTAAAGGACTCCTAAGGTGGAAGTGGTTTGGCTCTGGCCAGTGGGGAGCACGGGCAGGGAGAGCTTCGAGCTGTCTTCACTCTCCTGTATAGGCATGCCCAGAAAGGGATTACACTTTAACAGAGGTCTAGATATTTCCTCAACGGTGCTCAGATATGTGGCTCCCAAGGTCCACATCATTAGTCATAAAAGCAAACAGTCTAACCTCTGACACGAAAAATACACACTAGTACGTCTAAGTCCCTGGTGACAGGGAATGGGAATACAGCACGCTGCCAAGCCGGGGGGAGGAATTGAAAAGCTGCCACATAAGCAAGTGAAAAAAAAACCTTTACTGGTAAATTAAAGTTACAAGAACAGCTTGGACAGTTTAGGTTGAGCAATTCTTGCTTCTGTTGTAAGTCAGAACATGTATGCTGCTTTAAGGTGGTAGTTTGAATGCAGTATTTTGTTTCTTCTGATGGTCTTTTAAAGTGAAAAAAGTATCTTTTATGAAGACTTAGTTTTATAAATTGGTATTAATTAAAAAGAAAGTACAAATCATCTGCAGAAAGACAAGATAAAAACAACACAACATGGGCGTGAATGGAAAAGCAGATACGTCATTTGAAAGAAAGCAAATACATCATTTCCTGATTGTCTTCAAAGCCTAAGAAGATCTGCCATGTTGTGCCATGGAGAAGGAAATAATCAAGAAAAACAAAATATCGCATTAAGAATATTCATTATTAAGAATTAAATGCATTACAAGCTGTTGGTAAGATTCAGATACATAAAATGTTGTGCTCACTCATTCTTTTACCATCAGACTTCGTAAAAATACAATTTATTTCATGTAACTCCTTCAGACTGAGGATTCATTAGAGGAGGTCCCTGATGAAGTGTTTGCAGTCAGACTCTCCAACTGCACAACCATCACACATGTGCCAATGTTCCAGGCCTACTGGGACAGTGGTAAACACAGAACCCTCTGCCATACCCTCTACACCTAAATAATACACCATGTTCTTATGCCATGGCAGATAAGTGGACTTTTTTGCTAATCAGTTATGAAAAATTACAGGATTCAGACGTAATGCTGTGTTTTTCGTAACTTAAGAAAATCTTCTCCATGATAAATGAGTTGTGAATCTCCCGTATAAAGTATTTAAACAGATGGATAATCACCACAGCAACCAAAACCGCCACAGAGTCATTCAGGAGCATTCCCTATCTGCACACTCCACTCTCAGGTTTCGTGTTGTTTGGAGGCAATATTTTATGTAACAGAAGACTAGCCAATGCTTTTAGGTAACTCACAGTGATTTCCAAGGTACGTAAAAAAAGCAGAGGACCAAACATTAGCCAGCATTTTTTTTACACCCCAGATCACATTTAAGGTGACCTGACAAACTTGTTGCAGATTTTTTGCTGCATCTTATGTCTCTGCTCCTTTGCATCTGTATTTGTCATCTTCTCCATCCACATTTTCTCCTCTCAACTTTTCCGTGCTCTATCAGCATCATAACAAGGACTGCAACCTCAATCTGCCTATGATCCCAGAAATAATTAATTACTCGGGCAGAATAAAGCAGCCCAATAAGGAGAAAGAAACAATAACCTAATGATACAGGAGAGAACTTCCCACAGATCTGAGATAATCCCAGTCACTGCCACACAAGGCAGCAGTCTCCATCTCCCACGGCGCAGCTGAGCAGCTTTCCCACAGCACACGGAATGTGGGCACCCTGCACGAATCCTCGAATCCTCTCCATCATTTTCCATCCCCCTGAGGCAGTTGAGCCTTGCTGCAAGGCAGGAGAATAGCAGTGGGATGGTGCCAAGCCAGGTTTTGTGTGTGCCCTAAACCAAACAGCTCTGGGATATTTTAGCATATGTCAGTGCTGGTTCAACAGTGATGGCACACACGTACCTTTAGGAATGTCTGGGATGGGCAGAATCTCTCCCAAGGGCACGTTACTTGTCAGGGATGGGGGTTTGTGCTCTCCAAAGTAACAGGCACCAGCAGCAAGGACAGAACACCACTGACTCCTACTTACACACGTACAGGTTTTCACACTGAATTTGAGTTAACACAGGGCTTTTAAAATCACAAAATAACCTGGAAACAAACTGCAGTTATAGATAGGTGGGAGAGGAAGGAGACTAGCATGAGTCCTGATTTTCAACAGGTTATTAAATAAATAAACGCTATGAAATAGGTGGCAGAACAAAGTTGGATCCTGGGAAACTTGCAGAGGAAGACATTAAACCTGCTTTTAGAGAGTCTGAACTTTCTTTTTAAATGAGCTGGATGAACTGGAAAATATCCAGTGTGGCTAATTATTGTGCTTCTAAGTCTAGTCCTTTTAAATTATGTTTTTTCTAATTTGACCATTCTATTTGTTATTAATTTGAATACCTCTGAAGCATGTTTATGTCTGCCACTTGTCCTGAGACAGATTTCCAAAATCAGGAACACTCTGCATTGAATTAATACTCAGTAAAAACATAATAATTTTCTGAATGTATCCTGAGGGGCTGAAGTCTGGTAGTCCATTTAAAAACAAGAATTCCAGTTTATTTTTAAACATGTTAAAATCTGAGCTGATCGACACTCATCAAGAAACAAAAAAACCCTTATATTACCAGTTTTCACTGCACACATTTTCAAAAATTCTGACAAGATAATAATTTCTATATATAATAATTTAACAATATTATGTAATTTGTGAATTCTTAATGAACTACTAGCAACCATTAGATCTGCAGAAAAAGGTAGATGATAATATACACAACTTGGCTAAATTAGAAAATACATTGTTTAGAATTTCTTTATTTAATGTCTTCCACGACTTTAAATAGACAAAATGTGTTGCTTCCTGTCCTGGATTGTTTCATGGTATTATTGTGAAACATTCATGGCTGCTGTGTTTATTTCACCACGGAAGTGTGTTCATTTCACTGGTGGGTAAAGCCTGGTAATGAGTAAAAGATTTTGCAATCCTGCTGACTGGATGTCTCAATATAAATCTTAATTATCCACCTGACTTGCAATGAAAACATTCTGCTGCATTAATAATCTTAAAATTGGGGATGATATTGGGTGGTGATTACGCATGGGTTTGTTTTTATTATACAGGGCTTAAAAACCGAAGCTGGGAAGAAAATCAAAGGACGATGATATAGTGGATAATGCATAAAACGAGCTGAAGTCCACAGCTAGTTTAATTTAATGAAAACACATTAAGTAAATAAGAGGAATAGAGAACAAAGGTAACAGGATGAGAAGCTGTTTACAGGGACAGCGTGCCCCATTTCAGCCGTGCTGCTGTAGGGTCACGCAGGTACGACTGAGCTGTCAATACTTTAATTGTGATTCACGCCGGGTGAGACACCGACCCCTCCACGGCGGGATGTGCAGGCGATGGGCAGCGCCGGGGGGAGCCGGAGACGCAACCCCAGGAAAGAAACACGGCGGCCCCGAGGAGCCGGGAGAGAGGAGGAACCCCTCCAGGACGGGTCAAACCTCGAGAACCATGAGATGAGGTAAATTACTATTAAAAAACACCTTCCCGCAGGTGAGCAGGGCCGGGCCGGGCGCACACCCCGCGCTGCCCGCGGAGCCCACGGGGCTGGCTGGGAGGGCGGCGGGGGACGCTCCGAGAGCACCCGCGGTGCCGGGGCAGCACCGAGGGGCAGCACCGAGGCCCGGCCCAGGCACACCGACGGCGGGGAGCCCCGACATGGCGGCGGGGGCGGGCGGCGGGCGGGGCGGTGACGCGGCGGCGGCCGCCGGTCGGTCCCGGCAGCCCCAGCGCTGCCCGCAGTGACGGGCGGACAAAGGGGCGCCGCGCCAGCCCCACCGAGCGGCCCCGGGCGGGTGAGTCGGGCTGGGGGGGCCGCACCGGGCGCGGGGCGAGGGCGGCGGAGCCCACGGAGCCCCCCGCGCTGCCTTGTCCCGCGCTGTCCCGTCCCGTCCTGCCCTGTCGCGGGCGGGCGGCCCCGCGGGCCGGGCCTCCTTTCCCTGCCCTCGCTCGGGCCCGGCGGGGCAGCGATGAGGAACGGGGCGGCGGCCGGGCTGGGGCCGCTCCCCCGCGGGGCCGGGGGTCGCTCCGGGGGCCGGCGGTGCGGGGGAAGGCGCCGGGCAGGGCTGCGGGGCGGGTCCCGCCCCGGGCCGTGCGGGGGTGCCGGGCAGGGCCGGCTGCGGGAGCCGCCGTTACCGCGCAGCTGCCCCAGCCCCGGTCGCTGCTGCTGCTCCTCGCTGGAGAACAAAGAGGATCAATTAGGAGTGTGCAATTACCGCCCTGCCCTGCCGGCGGTACGAGCAGATCGGAGCGCCTTTGCCCCCGCCGCTCTCCCGAGGAAGAGTGTTTGGCGTTTCGGGGACACGCCGTGCTAAGGAGCACAACAAACGTTTGAAAAGCAGACGGTTTAGTGCATTAAACACAACGTGAAAGTGAGAAGATAGAGACTAGAGTGAGAAAATAGAGACTAAGGCAGATGTGCCCTTGAAAGTCTTCCCTAGGATTCTTCTGAGCCGGAATGGATCAGAAGCAGTGCACAGCTGTTATTTCATTTTTCACTGCTGGTGCATGCCTCTTCGTTGCGTTTGTATATTTCTTTTTGTTAGTCACCTCTTCAGCGTTCAAAAAAAGAAACGACAGAATAGTGTGGTCCTAATAAATTTTGCTGTCAGTATCAGCATGATTTATGCATGTTGTAGTCATCCATGCTAATAGGTAACGCTCCGAGACTATTTCATTTTACAGCATCCTGGAGACAGTTACTAATTACATTTCTCATCACCCTGTGAAGGGGTAAACAGTAGCAGCTTTGCAAAGTATCAGAGCAGTTCTGCCAGTTCAGATGGGACTGTCCGCCTACTGAAATCCTTTGCAGAATATGTGCCTTCGTAGATCAGCAAATTGAGGTGAGGTTAACCAACTTGCTCAAGGTCATGGAGTGTCAGTGACAGAGTTAGCAATAATGGAATCCAGCCATCCTGGCTGCTGGGTCTGTTGCTCTCCTGATGGGTGACTCTCCCAGATAATTGCAGGTAGTTTAAACATTGTTTTGCGTAAGCGCACGTTGAGGCCTTCAAAACATTTTGGAGAAACAAAATGCTAATGGATCATCTTCAGATCCCGTGCACCATTTGCATGTGTCTTAGAGTGATTGCTCAGCTTGACACAGGAGGGAATTTTGAAGGAGACTTTGTAGTTTATTTTGTAAATAGGCGCTCAAAAGGCATCAGTCTTTACTGAGTATGTAGTGTATAAAAACTCAGTGTAGATTTAGGGGGTAGATCATGAGATGTAACAAACATAGATTACAATGTAATTAGACAGTTTTTAAAAGAAGAATGTGGACACTATGACCGTAAGGAGGTTTTCTTCTGAATAAAGTGTTTACCTGATGACATTCTATAGTTATTTGGAGTTGCTGGGAAGAAAAACAACAACAAATGCGCTGAGAAGCCATGGTGATGAGGCTGCTGGAAGTTAAAATGGGAATAAAAAAGTTCCTCAGCTGGTTTATTTATTCAGCAGGTACTTGTTAAGTAAAAGCAAATCACAATCGGGGTTATTTCTGACCCTGGAGAGAAGTTATGTTTCACTTCGTGTTTTTCTCTGTCGAGTTAAATTTATGAAGAAAGGGATTTCAAAGGAAATGCTGGCAGATCTGTGCTATTGTGACACCAGCAGTATATATTTAGTAACTTCAGGGAGGAAAGATCTTTATTGTGCTGAGAAAATGCCAGCGACAGCTGTTTGTCTGGACTTCAGAGAGCACTGGGAAGTGAGCTGGTGTTGTTCAGGTGTTACACCCTGGCCTGTGTCCTGTAACCAGCGTTACCTTTGACAGATCCCTGCTCCTGCAGGAACTCCATCAGCAGTGCTGAGAAAAGCCCATCTGTGCAGTGCAGGTCATGGAGCTGAGACCACAGGTCCAGGGTTGATACAGATTTATGTTGGGCGAGTAATTGTGGTGACTATTGACCACAAAGTTTAGTGGTCACGGTGCAGAAGAGAGGCTGCTGAGTTTCTTTTAAATGAACTGGCGGGGCTGTGTGACCTTATTCTGACCATGAGAGCTGCTGTGGGGTTAATCTGGGCAGGGAGGTTGTGGAGATACATGTTCACTCTGTAAAAGTGTTCACAGTTTCTTGTTGATGCAAAAGGTGTGGTGTTATCAGTACTAAACGGTCATGTCTCCCCAGCATGTGTGTGGTTTATAAATCAGTCTTTGGGAAAAGTGCTTTTGCTGATGTTGCTTGGTGAGATGTCCCAGCAAGGTGACTTCTAAGCTAAAACTGTTGTCTCAAAAAGGAAAAAGGATGCTGGTTGCTTGCCTAGGAATTCATAAATTTATATTCTGAATGACACTGCTATGTCAGCAAACATGTCTACTGTAGGCCTGGGTTTGCCAGATGTTCCTTTTGCCAGTTTGGGCGGTAACTCCTCGTGCAGCCAAGTTAAATAAGAAAAGGAAGCAATAACGGGATATACTTTTTAAAGATTGGTGGCTTTCCGTGTGCAGGTTGTGGAATCCTGGGAGGTTTGCACGCTGTTTTCAACGGATGTGTGAGAAAAATGAGCCTGTTGATAGGCTTAGTGATCCATTCCTCCACTGATACTGTCATTTGTGGAGTTTTGGACACTAAACACTCGCCACTGGCTGAGCTGAAGAAACTGGAGATGTGGTATGAAGCCAGGAATTGGAATGAAACATGTACAGGGTTTAAATAAAAAACTAAAGCATCAAAATAATATTGATTATTATAAATAATATTTAAATCTTTTATTAAATATTGTCACTTAAGATATGTAGCAGTAGCTCGCTGTTGGTTGTATGGTAGTTTGAAACATTTATTCAAGAAAAAAATCCCTTTTGTTAACACAAATTGCCTATATTTCTTTTACACACAACATACACAGTGCACATATGTATGAGACCCAGAGATTCCAATGTACTCTTACTGCATGCTGTATTGAGCTAATTTTGGTTAAAAAAAATAAGTCATTCTTAATCTTCTACCTATGAGAAGCATCAAAAGAAGTTAATTTGTAATTCTACTTGCTGGCAGTGTTTCCACATTAGCTCTTCATATAGTCCTGATATGTTTGAATGGAACAATGAACCTCACTTTGCAGTAGTACATAAACTTGTAAAAGAAATAACGCTTACACTTGGTGTACAAGAATTTGTTGATTCTTCTGAAACAAAAGGGATTCACCAAAATTCTAAGCACTTACAGAGCCATTTCTTTTTCTAGTCTTTTCTTAATAAGGTAACAGAACGTTAGCTTGGAACACTATCATTGGGGATATGTTTTCAGAATATTATTAGTAGCATTTCAGTGAAGTGGAAACAGACTTGTACTCTTGAAAGAAACTGGATCTTGGGGAAAGACATTCTGGTGAGATCCGTGAATTTAAATTCTACAGGGTTAATTTGCTGTTTTAATAAATAAATAAATTTAAAAACTTAGTTTGTGAATAAGAATCGGAGCCTGTAAATCTGATGGTGTGACAGATACACTCTAGTAAACACATGAACCTGTGTCATGTTTCAAGTATGAAACCTGTATCTGATGCTTGGAAATGTGATCATCATGATGTTTAGAATGCAGAAATAAGCATTTGGTTTTGATTGTTCATAATGCTTGGGCTATTCACTGCTAGAAAGTTCAGAAACTAAGTTTTAAGGTGCAGTGAAACCAGTTTATTGGACTGGAGAACAGCTGAAATGTACCTTGTTTATAAAACTTCACTGGAAGTGGAAATGACAGCTAATGAGTCAGTAGGAACTTTTCGTTCTTTTAATATTTTCTACTGTAAAGTTAAACGTCAAAGGACACCTTCAGTTTGATAATTAACCTACAAGAGCTGCAATAAAACATGACGTTCTTGGAGGGTGGGAGAAGACTTTGTTCTGTCTGTCATGTGTCAAGTCAGTGGTATGTGTGCTGAGGAGTTTGGCCTTAATTTTATTTTATGAATTACATTTGGGATTGTTGCTTGATTGGGTCATGGGTTCTGGTCTTAGTTCTGGAATGTCACTCAAAATAAAACAGAACTGTGGAGGTGTCAGAGGGGGAATTGCAATGGTCGTACTTTGATTGGAGGCAGAAAACCTGTTGTCTTTTTTAATCAGATAGTAAATCCCAGATCTGTTTGGTGTTGAGCATCCCAGTTATTTTTCAATTCATTGCCTGTAACTACCGTGCAGTTGTAACAGGAGTTTAGTTTAAACACACCGAGAAGGTGTTCCTCATTCCTTAGCTCTGAATTTCTGGGATTTGTCATACCTGGCTGCCTGGGTGAGCAGATACCTAGGCTGTTATTCTTCATCCGGGGAAGTCGTCCCTCTGGAGAGGTTTCTGCCTGAACAGTGACTCCTACTTATGTCATGTTTCCTCATTTCTGCTCTGTTTCTTCTGAAGTGTTGGTGTGCTGAGACATGGGACATGGGATGGGATCTCTTTTTGTTATCGTTGTTTGGCTTGTGTTGCAAAGAGCCAGTATCAGCAGCAGTCACAGACTGGGACCCCAAATGCTGCCATGATACACTGACGAGGTGCTTATCCATTTATTTTATAGCAGTTTGTTAAATAGATGGAAACACAATGAAAATATTTTTATGTATCAGTATTTTTGAAGGAACATAAGTAGAGGTAGATTCATAATCAAGCGTCACATTTTATATTTTTACACCTTTGTTGACTGCCTCAGTTTAGTATAGACTTATGGAAATAATCTTCTTGCCTTTTCTCTTTTTTTCCCATTTTTTTCCTTTAGAATTGCCAAAATGCTTTGGAATTCTTAAACGATTCAAAAACTGAAGTCTCTGAGGATTCAAAATCATAAGAACACAAGAAGCAGCAAGGAGGATTCAGTGCCAATGCAGCAACAAAAAAGACAGCCAGAGTTAGTGGAAGGAAATCTTCCTGTTTTTGTTTTTCCTACAGAACTTATATTTTATGCAGATGACCAGTCAACACACAAGCAGGTGTTGACTCTATATAACCCCTATGAGTTTGCCTTAAAATTCAAAGGTGGGTTTCTTAGGTTAAGTTCTGTTTAAGGGTTAGTTGGTGATCTTGAACAGTCCAATTATAATTCATGTAACAAATCATATCTGTGACAAAACCAAACTCGTGTCTCTACATGTACCTGTTGATGAAGCTGGTGAGGTATTAATTCATGATTTGTTACCACTCCTGTCCTTGTCATTGCAGTTCTTTGTACAACCCCAAATAAATATGCGGTGGTTGATGCTACTGGTGCAGTGAAGCCTCAGTGCTGTGTTGATATGTAAGTAAAAGTTGGTTGGGTTTTTTTCTAATATACATTTTATTATCTTAATTTCTTTTATTATTTAAGAGGTAGTAAATGTCAGCATGCGTATAAAATATAACTTGGATAAAGTTGTAATATTTTCCTAATCTCCTGTATACTTGTGACTGTCTGGTTTTTGCTGTTCTTTCACTCTAGGGCAGAGGTATTACAATATTCTTTAATTTTGTCTTTGGGCATAAATAAATTGCCAGTAAATGCATCCTGTAGTGGAGTTTGTAAACCAGCAGTGAGAGTAATCTGAGCCCCCTCTGAGTACCTTTTTGTAAGAAATAACAAGAAAAGCAAGACCCCCAGGGTTGGGATTTCTGTGTGAGAAATACTTGTTTGCAGATTGGCAAAATGGAAATGTATGCAGTTCTGCTGAGCACGTTTTCCTGGGCCATGTTTAATTAAGGTACTCTTGCCTACCTTTCACCCTGACCACCCCTGCCGTTCTCAGATCTCTGTTTCTCCCCTTTACTCACTTCTCCTGTCAGGTCCCAACCCAATAACTGAGAAAATAAGGGGGCTGGTCAAGTGACCACAGTAATGAACAGGGTCTGCAGGCTGCTGTAATTTGGAGTAGAGTAGGTGTATAAGCTAAAATAGACCAACTTTTTTCATCTTGCATTTGCCACATTATTTCTGTGCTGATGTACAGATACAGCTGAAGAGAGTGTGAGGTACCTAAAAGAGTAGACTGAGCTTTTTGAATAGAAATTTTCCAAACTGTAAAACACCTTCTGGGATCTCTGCCTAACAAATGGCCGTACACAGAAACCCCCACAATTGAATGAACTATCTTTTGTCAGATAAATAATACCATGCTTGGGGAATGGCTCTTTCCTGTAGAATGTTTTCCTTAAGTGTAATTTGAAAAATTCAAAGGACTCACCAAATAAAAAGGAAATTTAAAACATGAAACTAAAAAGTTTCAGTGGGCAGGGGCAACAGTGCTAGAAATGGAACAAAATGGGTCAGAATACACCACTGTATCAGTGAACTGTTGAGGTCTTTAGCAGACTTTAACCAAAATAATCAAGCTTGTGTAATTCTAAAACAAATGTCTTTTATTAAATAAAGGAAAATAAGACATACACGGGTTTCAAGGGGATGTTTTTGTGCAGGAAAACCCCCACCCCTTTCCAGTGGTTGCTGTCTCAGGGCAGTGTTTACTGCTAGGATATGAGCAGTACTATGCAAGTGTGGCCATTTGCCAGATAAACAGATATTCTACAGAGCTTCCAATTATGCAATGATCTCTAAAAAGAAACAGGAGAATGTATCTGTTTATAAGGGTCTGCAGAAAATATCTCTTTGCTTGGCAGCAGATACATGTTCTCCCAGCACAGTGTTATGTAAAGATTCTGTTTAGCTTGGTGCTTAGTACCATGATACTAAGAGTGGAAACACCAATTTAAAGGAAGTGTTAAAGGAAGGAATCAGTTGATCTGCTGTGCTGATATGCTGAGAGCTGTATGAATTAGGGTTGTCAGAGGGGAAAAAGCTTTTTGTATTAGTGAAGGCAGTTGCCCAGCCAACACTTGACTTGCTGAAAGGCTGTCATAAGCACACTCATTTGCCTCTAAAGTGACGTAAAACTCGGTATATCACTGCTGGGGGGATGACTTGGTCTCTGTTTCTGTGATGAATAGTCTATTCAAACTAGATACCAGTTGCAAGCACTGGATATGTGCTAATGCTCGTCGATATCTTGATGTGATGCAGTTCCTTTAAATGAAGACTGAAAAACAAAAATCCATCCCTTCCTTGAAGCAATTTTGAAACTACTATCCTGTGTTACTAAGGGTACAGTCATTTTTTTCCCCTCATGAGATGGCAGCCCTCTTGAAACCAAATCACTTATTTGTAGTATTTTTTTTCAGATTAGCTATTGTTATCTTAAAAACTTAAAATAAGCTTTCACAAAAAATATTTGGAGAAATAATTTAAATCCTTATTAACCCCAAGAGCTGATACCATTTCAGACCTAAATGTTCGAGCTTTCTAATGCTAGATACATATTTTTGTGATGAATCACAAATGCAGAGAGGAGGCAGTTGAGCAGAGCTCTGCTCAGAGGTCTGTTTTGCCTTTGATCAGTGCTATTTTAAAACTGTGCCTTTTATAGGTTCCAAACATGCTCATAATGGTGGGTTTCTGATTTTGAAAATCCTTAGCTGACTCTTGTCCAGGAATGAGTTTTTCTTCTGAGAATGTGGAATTGTAAAGCTTTGAGCCTGGTTTCCTCAAAAAGCTGAACTTCAGCTTGCCAAACACCTGTCCAAGTGTTTGGCAGCTCTACTTTACTTCTTTCCTTCCCTGTCCACTCCAGTCCCCTCATACCTTTTCAAATCATTGGCCAGCATCAAAAACTTCAATAAACTGATGTTTCATCAGTTGGCAGCTCAGCCTCAGACTGAGCCAAAGGTGGGTTGAGATAAAGAATTAATTGTTCTTTTTTGGAGCTTTTTATATATTTGGGAAATATGGAGGGGAGAGAGAAGGCAGGCAAGATCAAATCTTCAAGAACACTGAGTAGTGGATGAGGCAATAGGGATCTGGATTATTGCAGTTTATCTGTGCATGGGGGAAAGAGGACAAACTTAGTGATACAGGATGTAATTCCATACTTGCTTCTTATTAGTTGACCTGTTTGAAAATGTTGTTTTTCTCTGCAGTGTGATTCGTCACAGAGATGTTCGGGCTGCTTACTATGGTGTGATAGATAAATTCCGTCTACAAGTGTCTGAGCAGAGCCAGAGGAAAGCATTAGGGAAAAAGGAGATTATTGCTACTCTGCTTCCATCTGCAAAGGAACAACAACAACAAAAGGAAGAGGAGGAAAAACGAATAAAAGAACACCTGGCTGAAAGTGTCTTTTTTGAGCAGACTTTGTGTCAACCAGGTAGCTGAAATCTTTTACCCCTCCTGTCTTCTGAATCAGTTTTGAATAACTCAGGTTACTAGAAAGGCTACAATATTTTTTTAAATATAGGTTAAAATAAATTTGAAAGGAATTGTTTTTACTTACCTGTAGGACTGCTATCTTTATCATTGGGGGATGACAGTACCCAAGAACCCAAACTGTGGCTATTCTGTTTATGCTGCCTTGATCAATCAAGACCCTTTGCTGCCCTGTGTTTGCATGTCATACCTTGGAGAGAGCATCCTCCCTTCCTCTGGAGCAGGAGTTCTGGTACAGCCAATGGGAATTTATCTACCAAAGGATGGTAGTTATTTTTTTCCCTCGGGCTCTTTCAGAACATATGCCCCTTCTGAGTTTGTTCCAAACCCGTAATCCCCCATTTCCTGATGAGCAGGAAATATTGCCAAAACATCTTCTGAAGTGCTCCTTGTTCTGCACCCTCTGCTTTGTCTGTCCCACAAGAACAGAAGAGCACAGTTGGGAGCTGAAAACTCTGCTTGTTTCATACATGAGGAAGTAAATCAACAGGCTTGGGCAAAACCTGGGCCAAACAGTTAAATTGAAGGGGTAGGATAAAAAGTGTCGAGTTTTACCTGAATTGAATCTAAACTGATTCTTGACAGCATACAGTCCTGTTAGTTTTACTGATTTATATTCTTATGTTCTTGTCACTGTTTAATTTTTCATTACAGCAACAAAAATCATTTCCAGAAAAATAGATGAACTTTATTGAGGGTGCTCCTCTTGTTAAAGCAAACCTGTTTCACTACTTATACAGAGTTTGTTGGCTGGTGAAATACCTTTTATTAAAGCAAACCCTGATGATAGATATTAGTAGGATACACGGTTAAAGCAAACCTGCAAAGATCTCTCAACTCACAGAACAAAATGTTACTGTGATAGTTGTTCCAGGACAGAGAGTTTGAACAATCTGATACTGGTCTTAATCCAAGTGCTACTTCTCTGCTTAAAAACCTTGTTGATCACATTATACTGCTTACAGAAAAGCAGTAAACAAGGTGACTGCAGTCTTTGCATGTAACCTGCAACCTGGAAATAACAGATTTATGGAATTGAAATAGAGCACATATTGCTGATCACTGAGGATAGAAAAAAATGATTAAAACATTGGCTAATTTCCAATGGGACTTAAGGATTTGGTTGGAGGTATTCAGTTAACATGTTAACAGCTCTTTTCAAAGATGACACAGTGGGCCTTTGAGTAGGTTCCAGCTGTTGGAGTGCAGTGCAATAAAGGGTATGAAGGACTCTTTATTGTCTGTGGTTTGCATTTCCTTATTCTGATGAGACTGGATGTCAGGGGGTTCAGTCTCATGGTTTTTAAAGGAAGGTTCAAATTTTACTGATTTGTGGCATCTAAACTGGTTCTGTTGGGTGCAGCCCTTGAATCCTCTAAAGAAGGAAGGGGAACTCATCTGGCCCACTGTGCTCTTGCTGTAGCCAGGTTTTGCTCAGGAGGTGTAAGCAGTGACCTGCATGTGCAGCTCTTTTGGGTGATCTTTCCTAGTTGATTACTAATCACTGAAGGAACATACGAAGGAGTGCAGTGAGGATGCATGGGGAAATGTCAGGCATTGCTGAGACACCCACCTGTCCTGAGTGTGTGTATATATAGCTATAGCTATAGTATAGCTGGGCCTGGCAGGCTCTGCTCCTCCAGAAGGGAGGGGTTTAGGAACTCATGCGAAAACAAGTCCCAGCATCAGAACAGGGAGCAGCCTCCCCCACTGCAAAATGCAGAAGGTTTAGAAGGGTGGGTTTAAGAGTGATCTTCCACCCCCTCCAAACCACAAAGGGAAAGGAAGAATCTGAGGGCATTGCAGCTCCAATGCACTGCAAACGTTTTTGCAGAATATTTAATGTTTCTCTTGGTCAGATGTTCCTGACAGTTGGTGCTGTCTTGCTTTTCCAGAAAACAGAACTGCCTCGTCGGGACCTAGTTTACTAACAGTCTTCCTGGGAGTAGTGTGTGTCGCAGCACTAATGCTACCTACATCGGGGGAAATGGAATCCCTGGTGCCTCTCTACCTCCACTTAAGTGTGAATCAAAAGTTAGTAGCTGCTTATGTTTTAGGTGAGTACTTTGGGGTTTGTAAACGTTCTCCTGCAAATTCTGTGAGTTTGGAAAACTTCAGCTGTGTTTGCCAGTGGCTTCAGAGAACTGGATGGAGACAAAGCACCACATTACGTTTTGTTTTGCATCTCCACGTATATCTTAATTTGCAGCCATGGTGATGGCAGGGTAAATTAGTTATTATAAGTGTTTTAGACCAGATTTGAGTCAATACTTATTACATGCAGGCCTCTACATGTTAATTTTACCTTCGTTTGATGATGGGCCAACCACTGTTATCTGCCAACAAACCGAATGGAACGTCCTGTTTCTTACTCTTGTCTTGCCATAGTTACTCTGTTACAGAACGTAGGGCTCTTGTGTTACTGTGTTTCTCCCTCCAGCCCCATGAGCTGGTTTGTAAGGCTCTGTTCTCACTGCCTTCTTGATAAGCAGTGGAAGTGTGTAGCAATAAGTTACTGTAATCCTTTCTAAGAGACCACTACCATCCACAGTTCTTCCTGATTTGTAACTTACTCCTACATTAGCAAGCATAGATAATTGCACATTTCATTCGTTATGACTATTTCTCTATAACTATTTCAGATTTGAAGAACAGTCACACTAAACTCAAATCTCCTGTCCCACTACCTGGCAGAAATGAGGATTTGCAGGAAACGAGCTAGGCAGCTTCAAACTGATAGCTAGAGGTGAGGTAGTGATGGGAAAAAGTGCAAGTTCTTGATGGTTCATGCACAGTCAGCTGACTTACAGGTCAATCTGCTGAAGCAGTTTGAAATCTCACTTGTGGCTCTTTGCCCAAGCTGATGCTGATGGACTCTCAGGACCTTACAGTAATCTTCACTCTGTTTTTATCTCTGCTTTTCAAAATTACTCCAGGTTCTGCTGGTGCCAACTACAGTATTAAACCACGTGACTTTATACATTTGCAACAACTGAACCTGTTTCTTGATTCCCCATGAAGTTCTGACAGGTTTTGGTTCCTTTGGTGGCAGTATTTCTAGTGTTCATGGACAGACTTTTTTGTGTGCAACTCTTGCTTATGTAGGAAGTCAATTGCTCTTGAGAAGATGAAGCCACTTTCTTCCACAATTAATACAAATGGATTGTGGAGCATTTAATTGAAAAGGGTTGTTATACCACACCAACTGGACTATGTGACATTTGAGAAGTATTTGATTTACAGAAATGAGTTAAACCCTTTACTGCCTGAAAGTCCCTGTGCAAGTGGTACAGGCTGTCCTGTAAGCACCCTCCAGAAGCCTCTGTTGTTACTTTGCAATGATGGAATTAATCCAAATTAAGGCCTCCAGCAGTTGTGGTAGCACTGGTTGTCTGAGCCAGTACAGACCTTAAGAAATAGCTGAACTGTAATTCCTCTTTAATGGATAAATTGCTGATCTGATGGAAGGCAGCATTACAGCTCTGTGCTGTCATGCTTCACAGTCTTCCCAGTCTCATAAAGTAAATAATTTAAATCACTATGTAGTGGCAAGAGAGTAAAATAGTCTCAGAAACGTCTTTATTCATGGTGAGATCTGTAGGTTTTAGCTGAGTTCTCTGCAGTGAAAGGCTGTTACATTGACATCATCTGAGCATGCAAGAAAGTGAGATTGCCCAAGAACTGATAAATTATTATTGTGATGTTATATAAGGTTGGAATTCAAGGAGCCTGAATGTTCTTCCTTTGCCTTGTGCAATATAACCCATGGCTAAGAACTTACAGATTTGTACTTTTTCCTGTATCAGCACATAATTAAAGTGAACTTTTCAGTGTGTCATGAGTAGGTTTATTAGACCCACATTTCCTGCTTTCTTCTGTTTTTAATTGTTTTTAACCTCTATCAGAGCAGTCATTTTTTTTCCTCCCTCTTTAAAGGTCACAACAAAGAGTCTGTTGAAAGCTCTCTCTGCAGACTGACAAGGAAGCTTAACATCTTTGTCTAAAACTAGTCTTTGATCAGTTATTCTGCACAGAGCAGAAAAAAAGCCTTGGAGCCTTCAACTAATCTGCCTTACTGATGATTCAGCATTTGAATGATACTGCCCATAACTGGCCCCCATGAAAACTGGGGTTTGGCTTCTACTGTTACTCTTACCTAAGTCAAAATCTCAGTGTTCAGATTTTCAAGTAGCGAGATCAGTAATTGCGTGGAGTATTTATAGCTTCTGTAACATTCAGTGATTAGATAAACTGCACTTCAGTGTTGGTTTTTAACTACATCAAAACTTGGACCAATACTTCTAATATTTGAGTGTATGTATAAATGCATTCTGCATGTATTTACACACTTTTACATTGTTTTCTGGGCTGTGACAGGGTAAACTGCATTTTAAATGTTTTATTCAGTGAAACTGAAGTGTTTAGTTCTTAATTCTTGTCTTTCAGGTCTCATCACCATGGTTATTTTGAGAACATGAGCAGTGAGTTCATAGGATGTCAAACACCTTACTGTATATTCACATCATGAATGTGGACTGCCTTTTACTCCCATTTGGCTCATTAAGATGCTAGCAAAACTGTTCAGTGATTTAAGATACCTTCAGAAGTGTAATATATTTTAACTGTGTATAATAAATGAAAGACTCAAAGCACTTTGCGGTGCTTCTGTAACAGACAGCTATGAAATGTTCAGTGATACCTGTGAAAATAATTTGAAAAACTTTTATATCTACGCCTACTGTAAAAAATCCTTATTAAAGCAACATTTGTTATTTTTAGTCTATGTTCACATCAGTGCGTGATCACTATAAAAGCAAACTGTCTTCTGTAAAACGTTCATTTGGTTTGTGGTTGTACCTGCCAAGGCTGGCACATAACACTTCTGTATACAGTCCAGAGGGGTCAGAGTCGTGACTGGTCATTGAAGAAAATGAAAAGTTCCATCAGTGAAACTATGAAATAAACCATGAATTTTAGGTGAAGAAGTAATTCTCAAATTTCTTACTTCATCATTACCAATATATCACTGAGTGCTCGTTTTCTTACTTGGGGAAGTAATTTCTGCAAGAGCCATTTTGTATCACAATTGTAGACAATAAAAACAAGTTCTGTAATCAGATCCCTCCATTTCTTAGGGGTGCATGGAAGTGACATTAACAGAAGTTAAACTCACGCTGCACACTAATACAAAATTCACCATTTTTTTCTATTTTAGAGACCAAACTAAGTATAGCAGCAAAGGCATTTCTCTACACAGTCCCTACCCCCACAGCTACCACAGGGACTTGTTTTCTGTCAGAAACTCCTGCTCAAATACCAGTTTCATATTTGAGGTGAACATTTATCTTGTTTCATATAACAAGTATTTCCCTTGGTTTGGCATTTCAGTGTTGAGATGTTAATTTTAAAAGGGCAGCTATTCTTGCATTTGAATCATACACACAAATCTTTGTTCATAAGAAGTCTATAGAATATGCTCTGATATGAATAAAAAATTTGGAAATGAAACCCTTCACCCCCTCATGTTATGGGTCCCTTTTCTGCTTATGCATGGAAATACAAAAAAACCATGGAAAAAACTGTTTCTTTAAAAAAAAAAAGGGAGAAAGAAAAGTTGAATTCAAGTTGTTATTCACTTATTTTTTACTTATATATCAATAAGTCTCTAAAGGGCAATAAAATGTTGCTTTACTTTGATTCTCAGAAAAACAGAGATTGTGTCATCAATCAGTATCAGATGATAAAGTCAATCATTAACATTCACTAAATAAGATCCCACAATTGTTCTTAACTGGCTGAGAAGGTCGAGTCCCAGAGCCCTCTGCAGGCACAGCTCTTGTGTCCAACACAGAGCTCATAGCTGGGTCTGTTTTCCTGCCACTGCAGGGCTGTGTTCTTGTGGCTTCACTGTTCTTCAGTACCTCTGCTCTTAATTCTGATTTTCACAAGGTGGCTTAACCTGCTGTTTCTTGGGGAAGGGTGAGGGAATCGAGCAGAAGCTGAGGAGATAAAACTGCCATGTGGTACCTTATCTTAGCACCCAACAGCCAGGCTAAACATTTAATTGTGCCCAAGCTGATTAAAAAAGCCCAACACAAACCCTCTTTTTCTCCCCCCATATCTGGGCGTTCCAGTCATGGGCCGGGATCGTGTTTTGCCAGACACTTGGAGAAGAACAGAAGAGACCTTTCACCTACAGGAACTCAAGAGTCACTGTAACCAAGTCTGACACCTGCAGCTGCCCCAGTCCTGCAGGACAGCAGGTGCCTGGGGAAGGGAGATCACAGGACACGGACCCCGACTGCCAGTGTTTGTTTTCAAGGAATCTAAAGAGAAACGTTTGGTTTAGAAAAACACTTTGACCAAAGAAATCAGTAACAAAAAGTAATCATCAACCAAACAGACTAAAACATTGGACCACTTCTTTGTCAAGGGCAAGCAAGGAGCAATACACAGATAAAAAAAAGATTAAATGCACAGTGTAACTCAGCAGATGCAGATAAAACTGGTGCCTGGGTGAAATAAGGATGGCAAGTGTGAATTCTGACTTCTTTCCACTTCAGGGAGGTTGCAGCACACTGCAGAATCACTGATTTATGCACAGTGTTGTGAAACCAAGACCTGAGGACAGTTTCGGTTCGGCACTGTGAGGGGGAATATATCAAATCATGTTACAGCATGGTCACAGAGGGGCACTAGTACAAATTTACCAGGTGGATACACAAGATTTTTAAGGTATTTTCTGATTTTATATATATGTATCTGTAAATGTGCATGCACACACCTCTAATACTTACTTTATAGGGGCTGAGAAAACACTGAATGCCTTTGGAAATAAGACCCAAGACAGCAAATATGCCTCCTAGAAACAGCAGGAAAAACAGTTAAGTGTTCACGTCATTTCCCATTCCTGACTCCTAACACAAACAAACAGTCATTTCCTTGCAATGGACAAGTATTTTCAGCAGACAGTTGGGAGGGCTTTGAGATCATCCAGCAGAAACAATCCTGGTGTTTACCCAGCACTTGCTGTGGCACCGATATCTCAAACGAGCCATGCTGGCAGCAGGAAATGGGAGCCCTGCCGAGATCGCTTTCGGGAGCGTCACTCCCAGTCGCTGTAGGCTTGGTACATGATCTTCTCGAGGTGTTTGCACTTGTCTGGATCAGAAAACGCTTAAACGACCCTGTTTTCTCTAGAGGAGAAACTTGAAACTGCAGTAGACGTGGTGTTGCTGTTTCAGAGCTCCAGGGACAGAGGGGGCTCTCAGGGAATCGGCTCATCCCACCAGGGATCGCAGCCGATGGAGCCCCCGAGACTGCAGAGTGGGTCTGGTACCCTCACATGGCGACCACCTGGAAACAGATCAGGCCCTGCACAGGGAAATGCTGGGCTGCTGCTGCCACATCTCAGAACATGCCCCGGGAAGACAACAGGGCGTGCTGTCAGATGGGAACAGTCAACTGCTCCTGTGGAAACAGCTCCACAGGGGCATTCCAGCAGCTCCAAAAGGAGCCCACGCACACAACTGTACCTTCAACAACAAAGCAGAGAAATCCTTCCTGCAATCAACTAGTTAAGAATTGTCACAGCCAATCGTATGTTATTTCATTTTATGTTTCTATGTAGGAAGTATCTGATAACCAACAAGCCTAAACTGGAAAGAGGCTGCCAAATAGGTTTGGCAATAAATCACTACATTTTAGTCCCCATTTGTCAGTCTACATTTAAGATACCTCGCTTCCCATGTAACAGCTTTCCTTATAACTGCCAAGTTCCAGCACCCCTTTGTCACGAGTGTGAATCTCCTACTTCACACATTTATTGGTAATCCACCTCACTGGAAGGGCAAGGCTACAGAAGGGAACTTGCCTGAGCCAGTAAACCAGATCCAGGAATGTTTTGTTTACAAGAAAGAGAGCTCTCAGATGCCAAGTGATATATGACTTCAGAGGGCCCATAGTGATCCAGGGCAACATCAAATTCAAGGACCAGATGGTCTTTAAAAAACCTTTGTACAGGAGGTTTTAAAACCTCCCCAAACCTTGAATCACCTTCTCTGGTAGGCAGGAGTTTGAGTTCTTGGGTCAGCTCAGGTGCTTTGCCCTCTGACCTTGCATGAGACCCTTTGGGCAGAAAAAAGAAGGGAACAGCCAGCCATACAAAGCATGTGGGGCTGAGCAATCCTGGTATTGATCCTCCTGCCAGCTGCATGCAGAGAGAAGGGCTGAGTGGCTGTAGAAAACAAGCTCCCTCCTGTGTCCCCATGGAACAGGGCACTCACCTGTTCACAGCAGTGTAGGGAAGGCACCATCCCTCACCAGAGCTGGAGGAGAAACATCCTAAGTTAACGGTACTGGAGTCTTCCCTGCAGGAATAATGTGCTGCCTGAGGTAATTAAATTAAGACTGAAACCACTGAAGGAGAGCAAAGTACACTGTTGCCAGCAGCTCATCACTCAGTTGTTACTGCTGCACAGAACCTGGTGAGGGTTGGGAAACCACTGCTACGCCATCAGCAAGGGCCATTTACAGGTAAGGACTGTATAAATGAAAGGAGCCCAGAGAACAAGTGCATCCTCAAAAAGGAGTGCTGGGGGAATGAACACAGGCAGGCGACACAGCGTAACAACTAACACTGAGTAAGGGGATGCATTCACTTTTGGGTCTATTTTTGTCTTCTGTAGAAGCTCTTCACTGTACACTAAAGAGCTGTTTACTTTGGATAATGAACTGTAGCCAATGCACATCAGCTCTTGAAAATTTGCAAAGCTGTATAACCATGCTGACGAGTATAATGTGGAATTACATGCAAGCAAAGTAACTGCACTGGCCTTCGAAACAGCAGAGACTCTGAAAAGGAGTAATGTAAGAAGAGCACAACCATGATCACAGGTACAATCAAAGCAAATGAGGGACCTCCTTACTGTGAGGAAAAAGGCTGGTAAGAAGATCTACCTGAGAAACAGGCTCCCTGTACTGGAACGTAAATCCACATTTCCAATTAAAACAAATAAAATTAGCAATAAAATTTACAGTAGCAAAATATTATTTACAATAGCAAAATGACAGTGTTCTCCTCCAGAAAACTGCAGACACTGGGTGGCTTGAGGTAAGAACATCAAGGCATTAGACAAGGCTGTGCTTTGACAAACAAGAAACCACCATCAAGGGACAAATAAAACTGCAGTAAAGCTCTGGAATCCCAAGCTCCATCAACATCACCAAACCCATTAGCGCCTTTCCCTCAGGAATCTGCCAGGAATCTCCAAAATCGAAACCGACTGCTGAAGTGAATGCACTTGAAATGAAAGGATGATGATGTATTTTTAGCAGGAAGCTTCTCGAAATTTCAGTGTCAGCTTTATTTAAACCAGTTTGAAAGACAACACAGTACCTGATTTCTGTGCCACAAACCCCGATGTGTGCTGTGCACATACTTTTGATTCTTCTCCATACAAGGGCAAAAAGTAACCAGGAGAGCCACATGTCCAAAGATTAGCACCTGCAGCAAAACCTGCTCCCTCTTGAGCAGCTTTTCCTACTTAGGCTGCCATGCAGCAAAATTCTAAACATTTACATACAATTGTTTATCATGGAAGGAAATGTTAAATAGAAAGCATTTTCCAAGGCTCTCATGAAGCAAGTTAAAAGATGAAGAAACTAAACCATCAGAAGAACTTTAAATTTTATAAATGCTGGCTTTGTCTGAGGAATCTTCATGGCATTGGGGATGTCTCACCAGTTCCTTGAGAGACACAGGGGAGCCAGCACAAAGGCATGTAGAGGCCTTGTTTGGTTTTGGTTTAAATGCGCTCAACTCCTCCCCCCTTCTGAAAGTTCTGTTCCTGAGCCAGCTACTGAAAGTCAAACAAGGTTATTCTCCTTCAGTGGTTTATTTTTTTCCCCTTCTCTCTCTCTCTCTCATGCTTCTGCCACAAAACCCCAACAGGGGAGGCAATCTCACCCCTCCAGCATGTGCACAGGATGCAGGGTGTCTGTGCTTGCTTGGAATGCTCTGTGACTCTGGAGCAAGGCCTGGGCTGGCTGGCAACTTGTCCCCAGATTATCAAACAAGGATGCTCACACCTGATATACAGAAATGGGAAGGCTCCTCTGGTACAGGTAAAACAATCACCCAAGACATACCCTTAGGAAACAAACCTGAGGTGACAATTTTGGCATCCAGTTATTGAAAAGGACTCTTGCCAAGGCCTCCTCTTTGTGTCAGTAAGGTTTTAATTACTGTACTGTAGCTGTAAACATTCAATTGCATTTACAAATATTTTAAATTGTTGCTTCCAGGAGAAGAAGGATCAACTTAAACTCCATCTGCCAGTTGGTGATGAGAAAGGTTGCTTAAAACAGGATAGGAAGAGCTCACAGAGTTTAATTATGACTCCCGAAGTTCTCTATTTTAAGTAATTGAGTTACGACTCCAACATATGCAAGAATACAACAGCATAAAGTGAACACGTCTGAACTGACGACTGCCAAGGGAGGCACAA